CTTTGTACACAACCATTCCCCACGATAAATTAAAGTCCAGGCTTTTTGATATCATTGACAGCTGCTTTTTCAATAAAAATGGAACTCGTAAATATACTTACCTTGTCATTGGTCATTTGCAAAATTATTTTGTCAAAAAACATTCTGATTGTTCACACAAGTATTCTGAAGTTGACATTAAAAAGATGCTTGAGTTTCTGATTGACAATATCTATGTGGTTTTTGGAGACCAGGTCTTCCAACAATCTATTGGAATTCCCATATGTACCAATTGCGCCCCGTTATTAGCAGACCTTTTTTTGTATTCATATGAAGCAGAATTTGTCCAAAATCTTGTACATGAAAAGATGAAAACACTCGCTGTGGCCTTCAACTCGACATTTAGATATATCGACGACGTATTGTCAATTAACAATGGCTATTTCCATTCTCATGTCGATACGATATATCCTTGTGAACTTGAGATAAAACATACCACAGAGTCTGACACATCTGTTTCATATTTGGATATTTTACTTGAAAAAGACGTTAATGGTAATCTAACAACCAAGCTTTATGATAAACGTGATGACTTTAACTTTTCAATCGTCAACTTTCCTTACTTATGCAGCAATATACCTTCATCACCTGCATACGGGGTATATATCTCTCAGTTGATTCGATACGCAAGAGCATGCTCTACGTATGTACAATTTCTAAAACGAGGTAAATTATTGACAAATAAGTTGATGAAACAAGAATATCAGCTGTCTCGTTTAAAGTCATCATTTCGTAAGTTCTATGGTCGATACAGTCCCTGAAACGTTCTACTTTCCCATTTTTCCGTTCGCTCACCGTTCGTTCACCGTTCGTTCAGCGTGCGTTCACCGTTCGTTCACCGTGCGTTCACCGTTCGCTCTCCGTTCACAGTTTTGCGTTCACCGTGCGCTCGCGTTCACCGTTCACAAAGCGTTCAGCATTCGCTCTTCGTTCCGTTCACTTTGCGTTCACCTTGCGTTCAGCGTTCACATATCGTTCAGTTGTCATTGCCATTCGGAACTCCCAAGTGAAAGGACTTATCTTTTTGTAGGTAAGGAGTTACAGATTTTTTAATTTTATACTAACATATCGTGTTTGAAGAATCATTATTTCATGGGGGGAAAATCTAAGATATATATTTTTATTATTCTAACTTAGCTATTAGGTTATTTATTAAATTACTCTGGAAAAAAAATGTTATAAGCACATCCTGTACCTATGTAGAACGATGCTGAAATATTAAATTTAACTAAGGCCAATGTGCAAATACTTCAAGCACTGCAACATTTTGTTGTTTTGTTAAAGACGACAAATCTTTAATGGAGATATAATTATCCAAGTCAAATAATTACGCAGCAAAATTACGAAAATATTTATTTCTAACGCGTTTTTTTTTATTCAATTACTACAGAAAATATGATACAACTAGTTCTGAGAGTTATACATAGTACTGCGGATATCCTGTTAATTTATTATCTTTGGAGCGAATTAAATTGATAGTGTGTTTAAAGGAAATATTTATTTAAAATGTAATGCACTACAGAATATTCGCTACTATAATACATGTATGTAAAGTCTATAGTTATAGAGAAAAGATCTTTCTTCACCGTAACTTTATATGTTTGCTATTCGATATAATTAATACCCCCCCTTTTCCCCTAAATCGGTTACTTAGTCAGTACTGTATTTCCAGAAAATTTTAATTAACCTGTTAAAAAAAAGTTAAGGTCTTTTTTAGAACAAAAATTTCAGTCTCAAAACAAACATGCATCTAAAAAAGTCACAAAACAATAGTAGTTCAAAATGTACACGTGTCGGCGGTGGTATTTGAAATTGGCAGAGAGCATGTTTCAAATTCAAGTGTTAATGCCCAATATATTTTATTCACTAATTATTCAAATGTTGGTATCAAATCTAGAAATGATAAAAATAAATGTTATAACTTGTTGGAAATACTCGCACTTCGTCTTCGATGTGACGAAACTTTCACACTGGACTTCGTGTGAACTTGAAGCAGGAAAATAAAAACGAGTAACACTGTCAAACAGATGGATATGATTTGTTGATAAAAAAAAGTTACTTTCACTGTCTAATATATTTAGAAAAAAATATATGAGAGTTATTGTTTGATATAGGTGCAAACATTTAGTGAAGCCTGAAAGGAAGGGGGGGGGCTGAAACGGAATCTCCTCTCTCTCTCTCTCTCTCTCTCTCTCTCTCTCTCTCTCATTTGTCTGTTTGATAAAAATTATAACAGCATATTACTTAAATATCAAGTTCTGAAAATTGAATTTATAACAAATGATATGAATATGTATCTTTGTATTATCTTGTCTGAGTATAATCACGGCCATCTACAGATACATGTAGAAGTCTGCTCAATGAATCATCATGAAAAATAGAAATGACACATAATATATTATTGTATTAAACATTTAAAATACGAGCGTATAAATGCAAAACGTCCACTGACCTTTGTAATTAATTTTTTTTTATTACTTTACATGAAATCGCCTTGACACGGAGATACATATATGAATGGATGTTACAATCGCTTTAATTCATTCTATAAGTCAGAAGTTTTCTCTGATTTGTTATCAAATAAGAATAAACATTTTTATTTTCCAACTAAAAAAATATCTTTTATACTTCAGCGTTCGGCAACAATTGCAATGTTTTACTGCGTTAAAAATCGTGTGATTAAAAACTTAATGTGCATGAATCGTCTTTCTTAGGACAATTTTGGAGAATTTATTTTATTTACTTATTTATTCATTCATTTATTGGTTTACTTATTTATTTATTTATTTATTTTTTTGGCACCTGACATTATAATACAATAAAATAGTTTCAATGCAAGGAAAAGATCAGAGGCATTCCGAATATATCGTTCATCTTGCGTTCACCGTTCGTTCACCGTTCACTTTGCGTTCGCGTTTGCGCTCCGTTCGCGTTCTGCGTTCGCTCACCGTTCAGCGTTCACACATCGTTCACCAAGTTGCGTTCAGCGTTCACACATCGTTCACTCACCGTTCGCTCTGCGTTCGTTCAGCGTTCGTTCAGCGTTCGCTCACCGTTCAAGTGGGAAAGTAGAACGTTTCAGGGACTGTACAATGACCTTGTCAGCAAATACAATTTATCATTGAATCAAATGCTGACTGACGTTTTTCACACTAATTGTTAGGCCATTATTTACACACTGAATTGTCGACGGATTTTTCCGTTATTTCCCGATCATGACAAGGAGCACACGGCGGGTGTGACCGGTCGGCAGGGGATGCTCACTCCTCCATGGCACCTGATCCCACCTCTGATGTTTTGGTGGTCCGTGTTTGCTCTGCTCCTATTTTGTATTGATTAATGGACTTTTGAGCTTGAATACTGTTCATTATCTCCATATATTTCATGTACGAATGAATATTGTTTCCCCCTTCAAAATCTCCTCAAGAAGTAGGGCCATGCGTACTCAATATGGGATCCTGGAGTAGGGTTGAAGCACATTAGGATGCAGACGTACATCCTGAATCTATCCTAGATTTATGAAATTAAAAAAAGATATATAATTATAAGTTCAATATATATATATATATATATATATATATATATATATATATATATATATATATATATATATATATATATATATATATATATATATATATATATATATATATATATATATATATATATATATATATATATATATATTATATATATATATATATATATATATATATATATATATATATATATATATATATATATATATATATATATATATATATATATATATATATATATATATATATATATATATATATATATATATATATATATATATATATATATATATATATATATATATATATATATATATATATATATATATATATATATATATATATATATATATATATATATATATATATATATATATATATATATATATATATATATATATATATATATATATATATATATATATATATATATATATATATATATATATATATATATATATATATATATATATATATATATATATATATATATATATATATATATATATATTTTATTACATAAGTTATTTAATTTGAATTGACAATTCAATAACGCATGTGGATACGTACTTTGGAAACTAAGTGTATGAGGTATAGATCTATAAATACGTGTGAACTTTTGCGTATGTACACCCAGAGTTTCATACTCTAATCCCAGAGGCTGCCCATATTTTAACTTTTAGATCGCTATAGCTCTTTATTGTTAACTCAGTTTTGTGATTGTTGTTTTTGATTGTTCTTATTAAAAAACAGATCTGTATAAATATTTGATATAAAATAACATGTCCTTATTTAAAAGGACATGAAATTGACTTTTTTTAAATAGAAAAAATCTATAATTCTTTTCAATTCACTGTGCTATCCTGAAATTATATTGGAACTGATCTGTGACGTCTTGCCATGGTATCAAATGATATTTTTTTTTTTTTTTAAAAATCATAAGTATCAAATAAGTATCAAAAATATGCAATGTTTTTCATAGCCAGGACAACCTAAATTTTATTTGTAGATATTTTCAATTAAAAAAAAAATATTTTTTTCATTGAATATTTTAATTTTGACAGCTAGGGTCGTCGCAAGGAGTGTCCCCTCCCAGAAGCCAGATAAAAAAAAAATGGATACCATTTTGGGTGGTTCCTGTGCATTCAGTTGTCATTTTTCAAGCATTAATTAAAAAAAAATTGATATACAGATGTGGTTTTAAGTCCTTTGCTATTATGTCACCTTATTTTTTTGAAATGCTTTTACTCGACACTCGCGGGGTCTCTTTTTCCGAAAAAGGTGGTGAGATAGCATCCCCTCCCTCCCCCCTCTTAGCGATTATCTTGTATATTCTCCACATATATAATTAACACTGTGATAATGAAGTTTGAAGGAAATTCTATGGAAATTCAGAACCTTAGGACGGGTTACCATTGATTTGAGAGTTACTTCCCGTCCACTAAGTAACAATGACAAAGAGAGTCGGCATTTTAACGGAGTTCAATTATGAAGACCTTGAAGTAAGTATCTAATAAATTTCAATATTCTGTTATTCCTTGTAACTATATAATTATTGTGAGAATTAACACGCAACAATACAACGTCTCGCTGCAAATGTTGATTTTAGATCACCTATTTGTACTTTCATTTCAACAAGTATGGTGTGCAGTTTTCTACGATAGCTTGAAGAGGACATACCTAATAAAAATTTGTCATTCATTTGTTAATATTATGATTATTTTAATTATTTTTTTCATTGTAAATTTCACTCATAGTTTTGGAGAGCATTGTTAGAAATTCTGCCAATAAATCACAACATTTATGAGAGTTTCAATAACTTTAAACATTACTTTTGAATAATTATGAATACTCTGAGTTATCTCTCTTTGTTCATGCCGGTATGTACCAGGTATGATTCCATTTAAAACACGTAGAATGCAATGTAAATTAAAAGCCTTTTTAAAAATATGTAACCTTAATTGACTGAACAGGTTGTTATTTGACGAGTTTGTTAATTTAATTTTTAAATTGTGTAAGTTGAAACTCTTTCATATTGTATAGGCACATGTATGAACAAATATCATTGTTATACCTTTAAAAATTTGTAATTCAGTAGTGAAAAAAGTCTAACATTTCAAATGTTTTACTGAGCAGGCATAAAAAAATCGATTTTTGACCGCAGAGTGAGATATTGGACGTGTTGATGAGATGTTGGACCGCTTACGTCACATAATGGACAGGGTCAGCTAACTCTCATTTGCATTCGTTGGTGTTCGACATACATGTATGTCAAAAAAAACAATAACGTTAAAATAAAAAATAAAAGGTATAACTAAACATTTATTGACTGCGTTCTCTGGCAAAATGCGTTTTGTCGCCTCCTCAAACCAAACTGTTTGCCTTCGACCTAACGGCCTCAGGCAAACAGTTTGATTCTTGGGTCCGACAAATCGCATGTTGCCCTCAAACCCAGTCAATAAATGTATATTCTACCTTGCGAAATTTAGGTGTCATTTCTGATGTGTTTGGTTATAAACTGGATACTGGAATTAAAAACTCCTTATAATTTATTAACATCCTTATAAGTGAAGAAAGCGCAGGAAAATGAGTTATTACATGGCGACTTGCAAGTCGATTACATGAAAATAGGTAGAATTTACATGAAATGTACATTCATGCCAAAATCAAAGGATTTTAAATATTGCAAAAAGTCAAGAAAGATCTTTTTGTTGTTTTGAAAAAATTAAAACAGCTCAACTCACGATTAAAAAAGCAACTTAATGATTTAGAAAAAAAAATTACATGTGTATTATCTTGACAATTATTACATACTAATACACCAAGATTAGTTATGATTTGCAGTGCTTCTCTTTATTCTATAAAAATATACGTGCATGTTATACCTTTAAAGATTGGTTCCTATATATGTCTATACACTGTACACTGTACTAAAAAGTCGAATATTTCCAATGTTTTACTTCATCTTCAGCGGTCATAAAAATCGATGTTTGACCGCAGAATGAGATATTGGACCTGTCAATTAGATATTGGACCGCTTACGTAACATGGTGGGCGGGACCAGCTAAATATTATTTGCATTCGTTAGTGTTCGAAAATAAAGAATTGACCGAGTTTTATCGCAATGCGTGTAAAGGAAATTTTCATCATAAAAGGCAGCTCAAGATACATGTATGTCAAAAAATAAAAGGTATAACAAAACATTGAATGATCATGAGTTCTCGGGGAAATTGCGTTTTGTCGACCCTTCGAATCAAACCGTTTGCTTTCGGCCTAATGGCCTCAGGCAAACAGTTTGGCTCTTGGGTCCGACAAAACGCATGCTTCCCTGGAACCCAGTCAATAAATGTATAATAATATGTACTAAGGGAAGTAAATAAGGATGAACAATGGTGTTTATTTCTCTTTCAAGAAGATAGTGCATCGTGTTTTTAGATACTTATGTTAACACAAACTTAGTATACAATATTTATTTATAACATGACATACAGGTAAATTTATAATTAAACATATACATCTGTATGTTTCAGATACAGTAATTTCATTTATCACACAATCAGATCAATCTCGGAATCGGTGTGTTGGTTAGTAGAAAAGCTTGTTAGTGTCAATTAAAAACAAGAGGCCCATGGGCAGCAACGCTCACCTGAATCACTGTAACCCTGCTGTTATTTGTCCCTTTGTATTTCTACGTAAAACTTTGATCCCTTATTGTGGGCACTGCCTACAGTACCTCCGGGGGTCATGATTTGAACAAACTTTAATCTACACTACCTTAGAATGCTTCCATATCAATATGACTAATCATGTCTTTGCTTTTCTCGAAAATATTTTTAAAGATTCGTTTCAAATATATTCCTATGCTAAACTTTGATCGCACATTTTGGTCAAACCCTACCCCCGTGGACCATGATTTGAACAAATTTTAATCAACAATACCTTCATAATGCTTCCATTTCAATATAACTAATCATGCCTTAAGTTTGCTATTCTTAAGAAGATTTTTTTCCTATCCTATATAATGAAACTTTAAATTAAGTTTCAACTTTTCCGGTTCATGCAGTGGTTCTTGAGAAGAAGATTTTCTAAAGATACCATCAAATTTTCACTAGTTAAGAATTATCTCTCCTTTAGGAGAGAGTGGTTCTTCATTAGCACAAAACTGAATTCCCTTCACCCAAAAATACTTTGTGGCAAGTTTGATTGAAATTGAACCAGTTATTCCTAAGAAGACAAAAATTTGAAAACTTTTTCAGATGGACGCCGTACAAAATGTGATCAAATACGCTTACTTGAACTTTCAGCTTAGGTGAGCTAAAAATCTCGTTCTTACGAGAAAAAAATTCATAATAACGATACAATTTTCTCGTAATTACGAAATCTCTACTCGTAATATAAATTACCAGATTTTTTCTCGTTATTTAAAGATATTGTGAACGTGAATTTAATTTTTACTTGATAGAAGAAGCCTTTCTTAGGTTTTGGGTCTCCAGCCCCTAACAAAAAAATACTATAGTAAACTATAGTTAACTATAGTTTACTATAGTTAACTATAGTACCAAAGTAAAAACTTTGGAACTTTGATTTACTATAGTTAAAACTTTGGAACTTTGATTTACTATAGTGAAAACTTTGGAACTTTGATTTACTATAGTAAAAACTTTGGAACTTTGATTTACTATAGTGAAAACTTTGGAACTTTGATCTACTGTAGTGAAAACTTTGGAACTTTGATTTACTTCAGTGAAAACTTTGGAACTTTGATTTACTATAGTAAAAACTTTGAAACTTTGATTTACTATAGTAAAAACTTTGAAACTTTGATTAAGTACGATAAATCCTGTGGAATTATGTTTTTGATTCCCATTCTTTACATTTTATGATATTTCAAATTTAAGATTCATAAAAGCTTTAGAGAACATTTTTAAAACCCGACCCCTCCCCTAAAAGAATAATGTACAAGATATGAATTTTAATGTAATGGTTGTCGCTTGCGCCGATAAATAAGCAATATTTATTTCAATTCATTTAATTTTAATGTTATGCAGATGTAACGTAAGTCGTATGTATGGAGAAAAAATAATATATTATTGTGTCATTTAGAATCAAAATATCTGCTTCATCAACTTCAGTCAACATGTATTTTTTTAAATTTATAAATGTATATATTGCATTTGAATTAACTACTTTGTATATTTAAATAAAGATGTACAACAAAAACCAGCCCCAACCAACCCCATATCCACCCCTCCCCTAAAACGGCTAAATGATAAAAAAAAAAATAAAAATACATAAGTTGTTAAACTAATGAAAAAACTTTGAAACTTTGATTAAGTATAAGAAAAACTTTGGAACTTTGATTTACTATAGTGAAAACTTTGGAACTTTGATTTACTATAGTAAAAACTTTAGAACTTTGATTTACTATGGTAAAAACTTTGGAACTTTGATTTACTATAGTTAACTATAGTAAACTATAGTTAACTATAGTTTACTATAGTATTTTTTTGTTAGGGGCGTGGCGCAGTGGTTAGAGCATCTGCTCTAGAGTCGCGGAGTAAAGAGTTGATCTATACGTTGCGCGTTCGAATCCCACTGCGGGACGTGGAGACCGGTCCTTCGGATGAGACCGTATAAACCGAGGTCCCGTGTCGGAGTAGGTGCTGGCACGAAAAAAAGATCAATCACTGTTCAATGGCCCTGAGTGTCGAGTATAGGTCAAAATTTGTAGCCCTCCACCGGCAAGTTGTGGCGTCTCCATATAAGTGAAAAATTCTCGAGAGGGACGTTAAACAGCAAACAATCAATCAATCCTAGGTTTTGGAGCGGCCAGTTTATTGTAGTAAAATACGAACACAAAACACGATATGTCGAGTCCTTGTCAAATGTTCAATTTTACATGTATTGAAAATGACATACACTTGTACGACATGGTGTCGATTTTAATATGCTCTATTTAGATCTATAGTCACTGTATAAACTATGCAAATGTAGACAGTTTTTAAACTGATATTTAATTTATAATAACCAGTTTGGAAGGCGATTATAACCGGAAGGACAATGCATTGTATATTTGTGACTGTGACACTCGACACGCCAAAAAAAAAAAAAAATGAAAAAAAAAACAAACGAAAAAACATTGTAAACAATGGCTTCGACGGCAGGATCCAGCTGTGCAACTGAACAGGAAAAACGTTTAACAAGCCTATCTATGAGCATAAATTACAGATATAAAACACACTAGGAAAATAAAACACGGCTGTTTGTTGTAAATAGGATATTTATTGTCGATTTAAATTCTGTTCCTATGCAGCCTTCGCTGTCATCATTTATTCAACCCTGTATACCACCTATAAAGAAATATGAACTTTTTAGGTGGATTATTTGGTTTGAGTTTTTCTGTGCAGTATTTATCCATATATTCATTACCTTCGTAGAGGTTACCTTCAGATGATGGCATTTAGTGGTAATTATATCAACCTCGCCGAGTTGTTTGTTGCTATGTAATTTACAAGATGAAGGGCATAGTGTAGACACAAAACTTAACTTATTTTGCCCTAGCCTGTTCATATCTTTGAAACAATTGAAAAACGGGGGGGGGGGGGGGGGGCGAATGTCACAACTAAGTCGAACACAAAGTTGATTTTTTTTTTCATAAAGTGTATCATGACCTTGATTTAAGATCATAGGTGAAGATCAGTTTTGACGATGGGCTAAAATTGCGCTCGGTTCAAAACATAAACTTCACAGAATAAATATAATGCTTGATCCGCTGTTGAATTTCGAAAATGATTTGTTTGTTTGTTGTTTAACGTCCCTCTGGAGAATTTTTCACTCATATGGAAACGCCACTACTTGCCGGTGGAAGGCTGCAAATTTTAGACCTATACTCGGCACCCAGGGCCATTTTGTGCCAGCACCTACTGCGACATGGGACCGCGGTTTATACAGTCTCATCCGAAGGACCGGTCTCCACGTCCCGCAGTAGGATTCGAACCCGCGACGTAAGGATCAAGTCCTTACATCGCGACTCTAGAGTAAACTCTCTTACCACTCTGCCAGGCGGGCGATATTTCGAAAATGAAGAATATTTGGAATTTAGGTTATGATATAAGTTCGGTATTTAACTTATATTTTTGAAGCCAGTATGAAAGTGACAATGTTTTACTTGTCCGTGGCTTTGCAAAGAGTCATGACCTTGATCCATGTTTTATCGTAAAAGATCATTGCTGTCTATGATTTTTAAAAATTTTTAGGCAGATAATGTCTTTCAAATCGCAAAAGAGAATGACCTAGGTGTTCTTATGCTAGTGAATAATGAGTCAGGACCTTGATTTAAGGTTTTATATTGAAGGAATTTGGAATCAACAACATTGAGTATCTTGATTTATGTCCGTTTTTCGTGCTTTGTTCTCTCTCTTGGTCGTTTACTTACTCCTAATAACTATTTATCAAAGGTTTTAACAATTAGATGTATCTGCAGTAACCCTTCACGATAACCATGCTTAGCTGCATGTATATTTAGCTTGATCTAAATACAAATGTTTCCTGTAGACCAAGCTTGTTTGATTTTATTCATACTGTTTTAAAAGATTTATGTAATGTAAATTCTAATTACATGTAGATGTTATCTTCTGATCTTGACGTCACATTTATTATTTAGTCAAGCCACAGATTTTAAAGTGATTCTTAGATTACGAATGATATTAATAAACCAAACTTATGTAAAGAAATGTATTATAATTTTGTTCATATACTTCCATGCACCATTTGTCGAATTCTTAATTAGGAAAGAAAATAATTGTCCTTTCTGAAATGTTTTATTTTCTCAAATAAACTCTGCAATATGATCACTTTTAAGTACCACAGTCATAAAGAGTTCATTTGATAAAACCAATTTTTTTCAGAAAAGACTTGATTACAGTTGGAACAATTGCAAGTAATCTGCAAACTTCGTTTCGCATTGCAGGTTGTGGTTAAGTTAAAATGACATTCACATAGTTATAAGTATCGATTCAGATATCCATTAAAAATAACATATGTAGATGGCCGATCTTTTTTAATATTAATGCCCTGGTAGTTCCTTGTCCATTGATTTGTAACATGGTGCAAAATATTCCAGTCAGTACTAAGTATTGTTTGAACTCGTGTAAGTTCAGCGTATGTCTTTCATATTTTGCAGTAACTTATCAAATCTAATCTGAATAGCTTGTGACCCTACTTCGGTTTCAGAGACTGCTAAGGGAAAATATTCTTCAATATTTATAACATGTACTGTTACATGTTTTGAAACTTTGAAAATAAATTCTACGTTAAGTTTGATAATAGATGTATTAATTAATTTTCTTTTGTCTTACAGCTATGGTACCCATATTATCGGCTGAGGGAGGAGGGATACGAAACATTTACTATCGGTCCAGAAAAAGGAAAGACATACAATTCCAAACACGGATATCCATGCAAAGCGGAAGAGGGTATTGATGAAGTCAAAGCCGAGGTATTTCAATGACATTGGTAAAATCCAATTTGTTTGTTTGTCGATTAATTTATCGACAAATCACGAGAGAGTATATGTTGTTATCAGAGCTTTGTTTATAAAAATAACGTTTAATTTTAGCTACTTGTGTATCTTTTCCCAGTATCGATGGAAATTGTCTATTTTTAGATAGATACTGTCATCTTTTTAAAATAAGATTCTAAATTCGCAGCTTTAGTAGAAAATAATTTAAAAAAAAATCATATTTCCCCCAAAATATCATTTTCTATTAAAACTATAATGTTTTGTAAATATTTCCTGAATGTGTAAAATCGACATATGATTACTTTATTTTATCTATGTGTAATATAATATCTGTCTTATTCACATGATTTTCAATATTTTGCAAATGTAGAAATTTAAACAACAATGTTTCCCTTTAAGCCTCTTTTAATCATACAGTGGACAATATAATCAATTCTTTTACAAAAAGTAAAAAAAAAATATAATAAAATAAAATAAAATTATGGAGCGATTCTGTTTGCTGTGTTTCAGGATCTCGCTGGGCTTATCATTCCAGGAGGATTTGCACCAGATTACTGGAGACGAGACAAAAGATTCTTGGACTTGGTGAAAAACATGTATGAGTCAGGTAGGCTGGGTGTATTTATTTCAGATCTAACCAATTAAAAATGTCAACATAAAGCTAACCAAGGAGATATAAAATTGTGATTTTTTAGCACGTTTCTTTTTTCGTCCAACATATCACAATGAAAAAAATACACTTCGATGTATGTAATCGCTATGCGTACTTTTAATTGCTATACCAAAGCTTATTTGCTCTACCGCTCCTGTATCTGTCATTCTACAATTAACGGACCAGTCCAGGAAATAGAACATGAAAAAAATTGCTATAAATAGCCTATCGGACAATCTGATTATCTATTGGACATATTAGTCACTTGAAACAAAAGGAACACCCACAAATCTGGTATCCTTACATATTATATGTACAACTTCGATATACCCGTGATCCCAATTTGAGTTACGGAAGTAAATTTGTCGAGCAAGATTGAAGTAAACCTAAGTTGCCCTCTTATTTTGATGTTAAATATAGAAAGGTAGTACATACATGTATATATTTTTTAATCTGGCACGAATCCGATATTAAATGAAATTTTGGGGAAAAATCGTTACGGAAGTTAATTTTTAGCAAAAAAAGTTAAAATTCTCGGCAAGAAATATTATCAAATTTTATAAGATGTTACATCAAAAATAATTCGCTTACAGACAGAAAACATTTTGCACCTAAATTGGGAAACCATGGCTTGATTACCTTTATGGAAGAAAGACAACAGTTGTCTATCAAATTCATTTTGTTATGTCGAAAAAGTAATGATATTAATTATTTGATTCGCAACTAGAAATGATTTTATTACGTACTGTTGTCACCTTTGGTCAGTTCATTGTCAGATCTACATAGTTGGTATGCAATTGAAATGTTACGGAAGTTCATATGTATGCGACATGATGTAATTTCGCATGAAGTATGAACCATGATTTCTTTGCTAGAAGAGGCTTGTTTTCCTTTATTTAGAAAAAAATGAAAACCACTTGTGTATTATGAGATTAAGCATTAAAATCGATGTTTTAACTCAGTAGAAAGATGAAGTAACGACTGTAAATTTATTTGCGACAAAAGAAATCGTTATTTGATCACGTTTCTGTAGAACGACTGGTACACATGTATATGGAAACATGTAGCCTTTCCTTAGTAACTGTTCCATCAAAATAATAATAATAATAATAATAATTCGTGGGTTTATTTGGCTGCATTTATATTTATATAATTTTTTTTCTTTTTTTTTTTATATAAATCTAAAAACATTCAGAGCGTAAAATGACACTGATAATGTGCTTGGTCGCCAAAAAAAAAATCGAAGGAATTTTATTTATAAAAATCGTGCTTGCTTGCACAGCAGTTGCTGTTAGGATACAAATGTATACAGGTAAAATGGCAACGTATGTTCAACATATGTTAAACATACGTTGCAATTTTACCTGTTTAGTGCTAGTAAGTATTTGCGGATGTTTTGAGTAAAATATATTGGAGTTTTCAAAGCACAATAAGTAAATGATTGAAATTTTGAGAAAAAAAGGCAACGGACACTCATTATTGCTGATACATGTACATATGCATGAACACAACTTTTCTGGGCATTTTCGTCAGACAGAATTAGGTTTAAAAAAATTGAATCCATAATGAATACCCAATCCATCTTCCTTTTGGTTGAACAGACGCACTAAATTGGTTTCAATGTTCCAATATACTTATATATATTTCTGTAGTCAGTCAATAACAATTCTGATAAGTGATTTATTTTATTAATTATAAGGAGTTCATCGATCTCATGAACGACTCAACTTCGCCTTGTTGTTGTGAGATTGATGAACCCTATTTATTTCCTTAAAAAAATAATCATATTGAAATCTTACAATCATGACAGCGTATAATTAGAAAAATTATAAAGTCATTTAATTACAAGATATACAGACATACATTACAATGAAAATGCAAAGTACAATGTATCTTATAACAAATCGAATTTTAATTTACCTTGAACAAGGATAATAGATAAGGATGAAATTTTCAGTGACATAAGAATATTTATAATCTCGAGCAGCCCCTCTGATATCATCATAAAAAATGAATCTGGGACAAGTACTCTATCAACAAACAAAGAAAAAGAAAAATACAAAAAAGTCTCAAATTTATCTTATCAGGTCTACAATTACATGTCATAAGGAGATTTTAAAACGTAGATCACTGATTATATATATTGGAGGTCAGTGGAACAAGGAGCCCATGACGAATACCTATTTTAATGTGGTTTCAGTTTCGTATCAACAAGGTTTCTACTTGAGTGTATACGTGCAACTGAATGTCTTTTTTTTTTAATTAAAGCCAAGGCATACTCTGACAAAACTGATTTTTTTACTGCTCAGTTTTTTTGGGACTATCAGTAGTACTGTTTGATGCAGTAGCAGAGAAAAGAGAATATAAAAGTGGTTTAAATAACATTAATTAACAGATACCCTTATCTATTTTTAGATTTCTCAAATATTTTTATTATGTCACGGAGTCACCCATTTTCTCAAAAACGGCTGAACGAATTTCAACTATATTGTGATATAGTAGCTATGGGTGAAGGGGAATATTTTTTGTGAAATTCATGATTCTTTCCTCCTTGGGTGTCTAAGGGGTGGTATAAAACTGTTGGCATGATTATAATAATAAGCCATGATCCTTTACCAAAATTGTGAAATTAATGACCCCTGGATTCAGGGTACATGTATATTGAAATACCTATGAAACATTCTTTTCTCCTCAAACACATTTAGATGGCAAACTGCTTGAATAAATGGAATAGGTTCCTTAAGTTTCATTTAAATTGTGAAATTTTCGACCCCTGAATCCATGGTTCAGGACCAAGGATATTGCTTAGTTGAAATCTTTTTCTCTTTTAAAGGACATACAGTGGTCAAAGTAAATATGATTGTACTTACAATAAGCACATAACCAATTACCAAAATTGATAAATTCATATATTATGAGCCCAGCAGTCAGGCTCAAGACTGGGGCTAAGTTGCAAATGTATGTGCATGAAAATTTTGAATATCTTCATCTGTACTCATGTACAAATACAGCGAAACTGTATACATAATACTGTAGTTAGCACTTTGACTATTGTCATATTTGTGAAAGTGTAAAATTAATATTATATTGAAAATATATTAAATTCAAAGACATCTAGTCGGCAAGTCGTTTGAATAATAATCAGCAGCCAAACTTTCTACATGTACAAAAGTAATAAAATTTAAGTCCCCTGGTTCCAGAGATCAGGTCCCAAGTAGGAGATAAATAATTACTTAATTAGTATACATTATCTTCTTTATTTCCGAATCTCGAGAAGACATTATGAATATGATTACGATTGTTCTCACCACACTGTACAAATTTGTTCACATGAAGCCAAAGTTCCAGTTCCAGGTGGGTTCAAAATGATTATAGCCCCAGAAACTCATGATACTTAGGGCGACCTTCAAGGCCCATGGATCTCATGTATAAAATTCCCAAATCCCCCTCCCAAAAATGTATTACAGTTGCTGCTTGAAGAACCAAACTTGTTCGAAGCATTTGCAGTGAACTAAGTTGTGATTTTCTTTAAATTTAAATTTTAATTATATTCAACAGAATTGTGCCAATTATATAATTATTGAATATTTAATATACAAGTTATCACAATTATTTTTCTGCACACAATTTTATTTAAAATGAACAGTATTAACATTTTACGTATTTTTGTAGTTCGATCTACAACAATAAGTTTTCAATTCCACATAAAGCAATCCAAGTACAACATTTAGATGAAACCTTCCTCTCTTTTACACTTTAATTACAACCACGATGGTTTTGTACAGCAATAACATAATGTTACTTTGCATACACTGTAAGTAACATGGTTTTTCCATATACTGATACGATGATAAAAATATCATCCTATCCACCCCCAATTTGAAGGACCCATCTTTATCGAAGAATATTTTGATAAGAAACAACGTCATAAATAATGCATGATTAGGTGTCTGCAAGACGGCTAGTCATAGTCACGTGGGTGACTCTAGTCTTACCTGTGTGCAGGGTTCACGATGATCAATGAAAATTGCTCGTAATCAAAGGTGGAGTGAATTTAGGGGACAAATCTTGGCCGTGAACACCTGTCACCAGGTGAATTTAAATTGTGGGTAACAGAAACAAGAATATGTCCTTGAAAAGGCATAAACAACATGCTGTATTTTTCAGTATATGTATGCATAGACAAGTACACCTGACTTTAAAATGAACATTAAATATAATAATGATCTGTTGTAGCTTCTGCTGTTCTTCCTTTCTGACCGTCATTTCTCTAAGCAATATTATTATATGATATACTCGTACTTGAACATGTTAAAAAACACTTATTTATATAAATAAAATTTAAAGTAAAAATAATTTGAAAATTCTTTTAAAGTCGATTTCCTCCTAATCTATAGTTTATCGCGCAGATTGAATTCTCTACAACACTAGGTTTTATGTTGTCCATAAAACAGGGCAATTAATTCGAAATTGAACCCTGCTAGAATCTGAATTTATGACGTACTTCCGATAAAAAATATTCCTCGGCAAACATGGAAGAACTTTGTATAAAGGTTCAGTGATTTAAGTACAATAATGCTCGTATTTATTTGATCTGTCCTTTATTCAAGGCCACATCAAAATGTTTAATGTCTCTTAAATAGTGGCTGCACAAATATCAGCAAGACCTATACACTTGTTGTTTGAAGTTTATTTTTGAGTCAGATGAAACACAAAACATGTTTTTAGTCATTATCTTATAATTAGTATAGGATAATGACGCACAACCTCCCCTTGATTGTACATTATCAATTAATTTTCCTTCAAATGTTTCATTTGCCATATACGAGAGTTGATCAAAAAGTAATGTCACAGCTACTATAAAATCTTTAATAATCAAATGTTATCAACAAAATTTGACATACTAGTACCCCTATCTATTTTGATGTTTGTCCTGAAATTTCATTTGATTGTAT